AACATTAAGAGATTTAACAATATTGGGTGTTTCAGAGGATATGAATGCTTGTCAAGATGTGAAGTAAAATTCACTAAAATTATGTAATAATTTAAATATTTTGTATGGTAGACTCAGCGATTCCACTTTTAGATGTATACTCTGGAGAAACTTCTCAATATGACCCAGGAGTTGTGTACAAGAATGTTCACTGCAGTATTTTTCATGAAAGCTATAAACTGGATATTACCCAAATATTAATTAATAGGAGAAAAGTTAGTGGTTTATTCATACAGGAAGGGTTATATGGCAGTGGGAATGTGTGAGCCCCACTTACATGTAAAAACATGGATGAATCTTAGAGGTACAATGTTGAATGAAAACGACCATTTCTGGAAAAAATGTGTGATCTCTGTTTGACAAAGTTGAAAAACAAGCAGAAGTTAAATGTCTTGTTTAAGTATACGGAACAAGTGAAAATTTCTTCCAAAAAGCAGTGGAATGGCAAGGGCATCCAGATAGTACTTTTTTCTGGGGGGCCAAGCCAAAGGGATAGGATAGATGTGGGGCACAAGGTGTATGCTACTCAATAATAATATTCTAGTTCCTGGTTTGGGTGGTGGGTTTATGGATAGTCAGCATAGTATACTTTATAACTTAAATAGATTGTGTGTATTTTTCATTTGGGGAACAAAAAGGAATTTAAAAATGAAGGGAATTGAAGGTAAGAGAGTAGAGACTGTTACCATATGTAACTCTACAAAAGGAAGGAACCGCAGATAGATTCTGAGCCTAAGGAAATGTTGTCTTCACCCTGCTAAGCTGGACGGGTGATTGTTTGCTTATAGAATGTTCCAGAGGAGAATAACTGGCTAATAATTATACAAAAGATAAAGTGAAGTTCTTGAGAAGACAAGGATTAGGATTCCTGTCTCCAGGAGGTGAGATTTCCAGTGTAATTAGTGGGAAAGAAGTAGGTAGGTCCAAGTATAGGTAAACCTGTAGGTTTACTGGTGGAAAGAAAAGAGGAATCTGGTGACTTAGTGTCATCATTGTTACTAGATATTGAGGATGGGGAGGATGGGAAGATTGTGAAACTGAAGGAAAGAGAAGGTTGGAAATAGGCTTTCAGAGAGGGAGATAACAAACTTATTAGGTAAACATTGAATAATTGCTGGACAATATTGAATGTCCATTTAAAATTTGTGTTTTTGAATTTAAATTAGTACATCACACTTGTGTGTTTTTCCTTAAGTTTTCCCCACCATTTTGGTAACTTTATAAACTCTTTATGTAAACACTCTTAAAATTTTTTTAAAAAATTTAATAAATATTTTGCCTTTCCTGTTAATAACATTGAATTATAATATGATAAAGTTCTTCAGATTAGGTGCTAGGGTTGCATCTTTGTGACTGGATGACATGGAACCAGGGTACCATTGATTTTATAAGCTGTAATTCCCTTTGAGCCTTTTTTGACTCTTTATTCAAATTTCAGTTACTTTCCTTTCTACATTTTTTTCATTATTATTATTATTTTGTGTTGATTTTATTTATTTTGAGGGGAGGTAGAGGCAGAGAAGAGAGGGGAGACAGAATCCCAAGCAGGCCCCGTGCTGCCAGTGCAGAGCCTGGTCTGGGACTCGAACTCATGCACTCTGAGATCACGACCTGAGCTGAAGTCAGATGCTTAACCAACTGAGCCACTCAGGTGCCCTCCTTTCTACTTTACCTCCAAGATAGGGATTTGAAATCTTAAAAATCTGCTATGCAATTAGAATTATTAAAAATGAGTTTATATCTAAAGCTTAGCAATTTCTTATATGTGTCTTGAGTTATAAAATGAAAACTGGCTAATTAAATATCAGTTAATTAGGAATCTTATTATGCTGTCCAGGATTTTTATAAAATTTCTTATAATGTAGCTAGATTATTTTTATGAAAACCTCAGCTCTTTAAAATATTGGCATTAACCTAAAGGTCTAAAATTTTGTGCTGAAAAATGGATTCTCAAATTGCTTATCATTTAGCTAACAGAAGCAACTCAGATTTGTAAAATCAGAAGTTAGTATTGGCACAGGTTTTTTGTGATTTGTCTGCCTTTCATTTTTTTCATTTCACAGAAAATTCTGTGATGTATGGTTACATGATAGCATATTCTAAAAGTTTTTAATGAAAATTTCTTTAAAATATTCCATAGTAGTTTATAAATATATTTTGATAATTTTAATACTGCTTTTCACACACTTAAATTTAGTTTCCATTATTGAGGAATAGGGACCTTTAATTGTATATCATGAAGGGAACATCAGTCTGTTTATATGAAGCTTTGATTTGACAGTGTAGCCTCTAGTCAGGAAAGATTAGGTGATGCTGATAGTTTTCTAAGATTTTCACTGGGAGTAGGTTGTGGGGATAAGTTACGAAGCATTTTCCATGTCCTCTCTTGGCTTCAGCATTCATTTCCTCCAGGCGGTGCTGAAAGTGCTCAGAAAGAAAGGACAATTTGGCAATTTCCCTTCCCATTTGAAATACCATGACTTTATTGGTGGTTGTAGTAGGCAGAGGCTTCCACATTTTCCATCTACTGGAATGCTTTTTTGGTATTGGCCTTTTGGAGACATGATGAGATAATGTCTTTTTAAAAAAATCTAATAAATTACTGTGTAGCATGATAATGGCATCTTGTTAATATTTGAATTACCAAAATGATTCAGAAAGCAATTTGAAGGTCTAGATTTTTGTGAATGTGTTGTCTCACATGGTATGTCTGATATACATGTACATGTATATGTATAAGGAAAGAGAAAGAAGACTGAGCTGTTGCTTTAAATATTTTCAAGGATTTTGAAGCATTTAAACTTACATTATGTTCTTATATTCACATGAGGGTATTTGTTTCTAAAAGATCTTTTGACCCTATTGTTCAGAATCCTTTTTTTTTTTTTTAAGAGCAAAATTCCTTTTGTTATAAAGGTGTAAACTAAGAACTGTTGCTTAGGAATTTTTACTTCGATTTTGAATTTTAAATCCATTTTGGGTTTAGTTTTTCTTTGGACCAAATTATGATGCATGAAAAGAAAAATGCCCAGTCACTTTATTTATTTATTTTTTTTAAATGTTATATTTCTGAGAGAGAGAGAGAGAGAGAGAGAGAGAGAGCACGAGCAGGGGAGGGTCAGAGAGAGAAAGATACAGAATCCGAAGACAGGCTCCAGGCTCTGAACTAGCTGTCAGCACAGAGCCTGACATGGGGCTCGAACCCACGCACTGTGAGATCATGACCTGAGCTGAAGTCAGATGCTCAACCAACTGAGCCACCCAGCCGCCCCTCCACTCACTTAATATAGTAGATATTAAACCGTCAATAGATTAAGCGTATTTTATTACAATTTCTCAGATTTTACTAGACAAGTGATACTACATACTAAATCTTACAAATCTGTTACTTTGAGTGTTGGTTAGGACCTGCGATTAAAGAAACACTTACGAGTTTAGGTGTATAAAGAGATACAGTTTCTGTGTATTTAAAATGTGTTCATTCTTATATGTGGACATCATCTACATCTCTTTCATGAGTGTTATCTCGAAAGTTAAATTTGCATGTTAGAATGAATAGAATTCTAATTAGAGCTGCTCTTGAAATATGTAAGGTATTGTATACCATTATTTTTCTTCTTAAAACCCAGACTAAAATTCAGCTTTTCCAAAACTGTGCTCTCATATTTAACTTCCTTTTGATATACTAAAGGGTATTTTCTGTTAAGTAAGATAAATAAAATTCTACCAGTATTTCTTATTTATAAATTCATAGAGTACCTTTTGTCTAGTCATTGCAGGCTTGACTTTTGTTTCTCATGTATTACGAATAATTCTTTTCAATTTGATTCTTGTGTCCACAGTTTTGGTGTTAACTTTAGTGTGTAAATTGTATGATTTAACAGTCTTGTATATGACTTTTAGGTTTTGCATCATGCATACAATGACACAGAAATTTGTAAAAATTTCTCATGATTCTTGACAATCGTGTACTTTTGTTTTAGGAATGGTGGTGGGAGGTACATGCATTTTTAAAATAGGGATTTGGAATTTGTTATAGGGTAAATAACAGAGATTTAACTTCCTTCTGTTCAAATGAATACTCAGTTGTCCTGATACCATTTATTGAATAATTTTTTTCTGTTGTTTTGAAATGCTTCTTTTTTCTCTTCCTTGTACCATTTGTCTGTTCCTGTTCCTATGAGCTTATTATTTTCTAGTGGGAGAAAGATCAACAATAAACGAGTAAGAAAATGATAGGTAGAAGTAAGTTCTATAATGAAAATAAGAGTTATTTGGTAATGATTAGGCAGGTCCTTAAAACCAGTTGTCAAGACCACGCATTCTGAGGAACTGCCATGAACTCTGACCTGAATATCAGGAAGGGAATAGCTATGCAAATATCTGGTGAAAGAACATTTCAGGTAGAGGAAATGCCCTGAGGTGGAAATGGTCTCCATGTGTTCCGCAGACTGGAAAGAATTATAAAGAATTATAGGAACATAGTAAATAGGGAGATGAGTGGTGAGAGGTAACAATTGGAGAAGAGGGCCAATGAGAAAGCATGTATGTTGTAGGGATTTGTAGGCCAGGCTCAGGAATTTTGATACTATTTTAACTGTGAAGGGGAACTACTCAAGAGTAGTGTTTTAAAGTTAAAGTTGTCTAGAATGAATTTTTCTTATCTTTCTTCTGCACAAGGAGGAAATATAGGAGCATAGGTAACTTGTATGTCAAATAAATAGGTTCTTATGTAATTGGGAGCTATTTCTACATACATATGACCGTATAACAAATTTGCCTCCCTTTTAAATAACTTTACAGTTAAAGAAAACAGACTTTTAGAAACATGTAAGTACCAAGAGTTTGGAACTCAAAAGAATAAAGAATCTGTTTGCACTAAATAGAACTCTTTTTAGAAAACAATTTTATGGTGTGTTTTAAAATAATGTCTTTTCTTCCCCTTGAAATGTTTGTATTAGGGAACAGACATCCTTGGAAGAGGGAGAAATTCCTTGGTTACAGTACAATGAAGTCAATGAAAGTAGCAGTGATGAGGGAAATGAGCCTGCCAATGAATTTGCACAGCCAGAAGCTTTCATGTTGGATGGTAACAATAACCTTGAAGATGACTCCAGTGTGAGTGAAGACTTAGATGTGGATTGGAGGTATGGAATGGTGTTATTACCATGGTTAACTGTTTACTGAGTAGAATTTGTTCATGATTCTAAATTATGAAAACTGAATCTCTGATCTCAGAAGTGTTCCCTTTTTTCCCATCTGTCAATCTTCCTCTCCTTTAGCACTCCTTCTGGATGTCACTTCCTACATGGACTCCTTCCTACTTACTCCAAGCAGTGACCTCTTTTCCTCTTTGACCCTTGGCTCTCTTGAAGCCCACCTTCTATCCTGGTTATTTATAAACTCTCATGGTTCGAGATTTCCAACCTTTAAGTTTAGCTCTATATGGTAAATATAGCACTTAGTATAATCCTTTTAAAAAAGTTATTAATAAATAGTACTTGTGGAATTTCAAAACATGATTAAATCAGAAGAATCACAAGAATGTAGTTATCCTTCTCTGTATGCAAAATATGGAAAATATGATCGTATTTTCCCAGAGAGGCTGAAAGTATTCGTTTACTTTACACTGACAAAGAATAATGAGCTTCAGTTAAAAGAAGCGTACAAAAATTAAGTGAGTTATTAAATTGTTATGTCTCATGATATAATGGTCAAAATTTAACTGTTTTGGCTTTTAGTTAGATTTATCTTTCAAATAGCCTATCTTTCAGTAGGCCTCTGGAAGCAGCCAGTTACTGAGTTGAAAGGATGATATATGGTTCAACTGATCTCTTGTTAATTTTTCTGGAGAAAATATGGTTTGGTACTACTTTTGTTTCCATCTCTACACAGATAATATTTTTAAGAATTTGCTTTGCTCTACCAGTTAAAATTCCAATATAGAAAATTTAGAAAAATAAGGAAAAACTCATTCATATCACCTCATAACTGCAGATTTCTAGAAGTTATGTTTTTGAGTCCTCCTTTGTGTCTTCAGTGTCTCTTTCTGTGTGTGTAGCTACTTCTTTGTTTTTCTCCAAATTGCTCCAGATTTGAATCTCCGCATCTCCTTGAAGTCCTCCTTACCGTTTCCTATTCTCACTCCCTAAATTAGATGTGCAAAGCAGACTTGCATTGACCATTGTGGAAGTAGAACTGATGTTTTATCACAGCCACACAAACAATTTGAATTCCATCTTAAACAGGATTCCTGGTTCCAAAACCCATTTTCTGGCTTCCCTAACTTTATGGAAGAGCAGTGACTCACCAGATCATGGTTTTGCTGATCTTGTTAGTACTATCTCTTCCCACCTCTCTTATGTCTGCCTATTACCCTCTTTCTGAACTCCTTGTTATGCTGATGTCTTATGTCTCCATTATGCAAAGTCATTCCTCATAATCCTCAGCAGATGACAGAATTGTTGATTTAGGTAATATCATCTGTGCATGTCTGGAGGCAATTATGGTTTAATATAAAGAAATATTTTCTTTTGCACATTTCCAAAATTTTATCAAAATAATTTTTTACAGCTTCGTTATGTAGATACTCCAGTCTGTAGTAGAACTAAAATTTAATTGTTCATTTTCCCCACTGAAATAGTGCAGTGAACCTTTCCCCTCAAATAACTTGTTTTGTACTTCAAGTTACTTCTTTAGGACAGATTATTAGAGGTGACATTACTGAGATAAGTAGCATTTATTAATATCTTGAAATATATTTGTTAATAACTTTCAACAAAGGTTCCATATAAGAATTTGAAGAAATAATTGAGGTCTTTTTTGAATTATAATTTTAACTTAAATTTGAAAACTAATTTTAGGTTCTAATTCATTAGTGATCTTTCTGGATACATGTGTTATGTTAGATTTTAGAGATGTTTCTGATTGTCCTTAAATTTGGGGGAGTTTTAGTAGGTTTTGTTTTGTTTTAACATAGAAAGCCTTTTAGCAGTGATTTTAAGACAAAATTTTTGAAGGTTACTGACCTGAATTTTATGTGGGTATGGCGACACCTCATTATTGCTTATATGGTACTATGTTAATATATGTGGCAGTAGCTACAGATTGATAAAATGATTTTTATATTAAAATAACATGTCATTTTGACAACTAAAAGGAAAAGTAATAGCAAACATCAGTTCTTATCTCTAGAGCTAAAATGTGACATTTTTTTATTTTGCCACAACTTAAAAAAAGTTAAGCTTTTTGATTCTGTATTTTAGTTTAAAGGAAATGGAAAAACTCCTCTATCAAAGTTCATTTATTTGTTTTGATGACATCACAGGAGTGTGGTAGAATACCCAGAGAATATTTTATAAACTGATATGGTGGGAGTTGATGTGGAGAAAACATGAGTTTCAGATTTAGACAAATCCAAAATGTACCATTTATGTATTTTTTGATAACTACTTAACCTCTCTATTTCCTGTAAGAAATTGGGGTTATAATTTAACCTAATAAGGTTATGAGAAATTAATTCTCTACAGCTATGACCATGGCTTAATAACAGAATTTTAAAAGAATTCCATATATCTTTTGCTCATATTTCCCAGATGTTAACATTGACCACATTTTTGTAATTCTCTCTTTCCTCCCGAGATTTCTCTGTATTTATGGTATATTTTGTTCCTCACTATGAGTAAGTTGCAAACAAGATGAATCTTTACCCATAGTCTAGAATGGACTACAGACAATGACATTTTCTTATATAACAAAATCAAGAAATTAACACTGATAATAGTACTCTTATCTCATCTGCAGACATTATTCAAATGTCTGTAGTTGTCCCATGAATGCTACTGGAGAAATACTTTTCTAGTCCAATCTAAGACTACTCATTGTACTTGGTTAACATGTTTCTTTAGTCACTTTTAATTTGGAACATTTCCTTAGTTTTTCTTTGTCTTTCATAATCTTGATTTTTAAATCTTAATTTTTAAAAAGTATATAGGCCATTTATTTTGTAGAATGATTCTTAGTGTAGATTTCCCTGATGTCATGATTAAGATTCACGGTAATAGATTTTTAGCAGGAACACCACAGAAACAATGTTTTATTTTTCTTTGTTCATATCAGAAGGCATATGATGCCCAATTGTCCCATTACTGTGATGTTCATTGTGATTATTTGGTTAATGTGATATTTTTCATGTACTTTCACTTACAGTTGCCATTTTTAAAATAAATAATCAGCATCTAGAGGGAAGCGACTTTGAGATTTCTCAAAGTTTCTTCTCAAACTCTCAAACTTCCATCTGCTGGTTTTAGTATCATTAGTGATTTTTCTCTCAGACACTTATTACCATGTGATTGCCAGATGAATGATACTAGAATTTTTAATATTAGCTGATTATTTTGCAGGGACTGAATTACAAGCAGATAATATTATTTGAATGTCTAGATTTGTTTAGCCTGGAGAAGAAAAGAATTAGGAGATGATTGTCTAACCATTTGAAAGAGTTTCCTGCAAAGGAAAAGGGGCCATAGTTTGTGCTGCTTCAGCAGGCAGAACTAGAATGCTTCTTTCACACAAGTTACATACTTCTGACAAAGCTCTCCCACACCGCACATACCTCCCCAGGGAGCAGTGTGTCTTCTACATGGAGTGGATTGCCCTGCTGGTTCATGGATGACAACCATGGTGCCAGCTCTGTGCCATGTGCATATGTGCATCAACTCATTTCATTTGTTTTATGGCTGAAGAAACAGTTAACAAATTTTTCACATTGTCTAACTGACAGTTCAGTGTGGACTTAAATCCCTATGTTACTGGCTCCAGGGCTCTTCTTCCTTGCCCTGTGTCTCACTGCTAGGTGCGGGGTTCAGGTGTCACAAGGGTGGTTGGATTCGCTAATTTGTGATTTAAATTCTAATTTAAAAATCTGTGATTATATGAGGATGTTTCTTTATACTATGTGATGTCTGCTGATTTTTAGATGCTGCTAAGCTGTTATCTTCATAAGAACGCCTTGGTGTTTATTGGCAATAGATTTGTAATTTTAATCATGGCACAAAAGTTGACATCAAAATTATTTTGAAGTTTGTGTAACTGGATGTTCCTGACTGTATTCAACTTCTGATAGGAATATGGAAGTCAACAGAAGGTTGCCTTTAGGTACACAAAATAAGCTGAGTTTTGGAGATACTAGATTTGAGATGGTGGGAATTAAATGAGGTAAACTGCCCCATAGAAAACAAAAATTGTAGGTCAGGAGCTCAAGAGGGAGTTTGTAATTGGGTGGAGGTTTAGGAATTAACCTATAGAGAGAGGATAACTGAAGAAATGGACTTCAATGTCATTGCCAAAGAGGCAAGATTAGAAAGAAGGGGACTGAGGACATACTTAGGATTTCTGAATTTTGAAATACACATTTCCAAGACTAGAGTAAAAGGAGGAATCTATGTATGTGTGGGAGTAGAGGAAGGAGATCAGAACCAGGATAAAACATAATATTTTCTTCAGGGGGATTGCATTCCTTGAGTAAAAAGAAACAATAAAAATGAGCACTTAAGGGAGCTAAATACTTTCCAATCTGAATAATAATGGAGGAGGTTTAGTTCTCTAGAAGAATAGAAGAGAGATTAAGGAGAAAAACTTGAGAAAATTAAGTATTTTTAAGCCCAAAGTAATTAAGCAGTACCAAGTAAGAGAAGAAAAAGATGCTTTGTCTAATGATAAAAATTGAAATAAATGCAGTATTTGTCTTTACCATGTTGTCCTCTAAATTTAGACTGGAAACTCAAACAAACAGAAGGTATATGGGAAAGAATTAAGGAGAAAAATACTACCTTTGCACCAGCCTTAAGCGATCCCCCAAGTTGGAACTAAGAACTAGAAACATAAAAAGAATTTTCCCACAAATTTTGTGTGCAAGCATGGCAGCTCATTGGGAGAGGTGGTGGTGTCTTAGCTCCTTAGGCTTAGTATTTCCCTTTTCTGTTGGGTTCATCCTGCCTCTCACCACATAAGATTTATGTTAAAATATTATAAAGTTTTCTGCTTTTAGTATGCTTATTGGTTCATCAGTATGCTAATATAATTATGTTTTCACACATAAAGATTTCTCTATATTATGGCTGTATTTTTTTTCCAGCCTGTTTGATGGTTTTGCGGATGGACTAGGAGTTGCTGAAGCTATTTCCTATGTGGATCCTCAGTTCCTCACCTACATGGCTCTAGAAGAACGCTTAGCCCAGGCTATGGAGGTATTTTAGTGACTCTGCTGCCCATATATAAGTTGGGATACAAAATGATAAAAATTAAAGGCTTTTTTCATTGCTCTTAAAAAAAGGTGAATAATTTTTCATCAGTTTTAATAGTATTTCCTGATTAATGATTGCTGCTAGTATGTGTATATAAATTACAACTAGACATCCTGCCAGTTTGGCTAATTGCATTAAATTTTCCCTGGTTTTACTGCAGAATAGAGACTGTTTTGCTTACATTTAGAAAACATACTTTTCCTTTATTGAAGTACCTGGGTGTGAATCTGAATATTTTTTTAATGTTTTATTTATTTTTGAGAGAGAGAGAGAGAGAGAATGCATGCAAGTGTGTGGGGGAGGGGCAGAGAGAGGGAGACAGGGAATCTGAACCAGGCTCCAGGCTTTGAGCTGTCAGCACAGGGCCCAGTGTAGGGCTTGAACTCACAAGCCATGATATCATGACCTGAGTCGACGTTGGACACTTAACCGACTGAGCTACCTAGGTACCCCTGATTCTGATTATTTTACACACACACAGACACAGGTATATTTGCGAAATGAAATTGAAGATGTCTAAGGATATATTACAATTCACTTCCCCCATTTTGTCCTCATTGCTTCTAAATAATACCTTACTGCCTAATGAATTTAGCAATTTTACTTCCATTTTCTCCATAACAAACACACTTAAATAAATGTAGCATATAATTTTGTCTAGCTTTCTTTTCCTTATTTGACTACATCACAAATACTCATGGTTGTATTTGCCTAAGGTCAAAAGCCCAAGCATTTTCACATTTGGGAACTTTGACTGCACTTGTGGATTTCATTGTTAGGAATCTTTTCTTTAAATTACTGTTTCTTTTTTTTTTTTTTTTTAATGTTTTATGTATTTCTTAGAGAGAGTGAGAGACAGCATGAGCAGGGGAGGGTCAGAGAGAGAGGGAGATTCAGAATCTGAAGCAGGCTCCAGGCTCTGAGCTAGCTGTCAGCACAGAGCCCAACACAGGGCTCACAGTCTGGTTTCACAGTGCTTACATAGTTTTTCCCATTATTATGCTAGTGGTTTATGATCTCTTACAATATAGAGATTGTTTTAAAAAGAAGTTTTGAGAATTACAATAGAAGTTTTATTGTTACCAGTAGGAAGTGTGACATTTGACTGGTGTCGTGAAAGAAGCTCCAGGATTGGTTGGGGGCAGGGAGTCTTAACTGTGTAAAGGCACTAGCAGCATGTGCAAAGACAGGAGTCAAGAAAGACGATAGTATGTCCAGGGAACGTACAGTCCCCATGTGGCTTCCACTCTTACGGAACCCAGTGACACTGCCGCTTGTCACTCTTAACCATCTGTCCTTCCGTTGTGACTAATGAGTGGTGTTAAATGTCTGCCTTCCCTTCAGAATAACAGCTTCCTCAGATTTAGTGCTCTGCTTTATTGTATTTGAATTTGACTGAGAATCAATACAGTTCCATCTCCCTGTCACTCTCTAGAAAGCTTTATTTTTCTGTCTAGTATGCAGTTATTTAATCATTTTGAAAAGTGAGGTTGTAATAATTTATAATTCGATTTTTCCTTTTAAGTTTAACAGCGTTCTTTAAATGAAACAAAAACAACAAATGAGGCAAACTGAGTGTTTTTATTTGTTTTTCTCTCAAGCAGCCTGCTCTCTTTTTAGCACTGGTTGTTTCATTTCTCTTATTTTCCCAATACCAGACTGATCTGTTTTTTCAGGTAGTGGCTATTGGTGAAAATATTGGCAATAAACATTTGCCCCATATCTATTGTCTCAAATTTGAGTGAGCAAAGGACAAAATACTTAAGATATTTAACTGTTTGAAACAGTGATATTAAAGCATTTTACTCTGAACAAGTTTTGAAAACTTCTTCCCTTTGTACATTTATGTTGACACTTAAAGTTTTTTAGCATAAACCCTAAGTAATATTGTTTACTTTATTATACTGCTTTGAAATAAAAATATGTTCAATAATTTAAATATAAATAAGGTGGTTTAGATTCATTTAAAGTTGTTAGTAGCATCTAACTGATCAAAAAGAGACTTCTCAATGTTGGTAAATATTTAAACGTAAAATAACTTATACTGGAAATGTATCTCTTAATAAGGTAGAGGGACACTCTTTCCTTCCTTACTACTTTATGAATTAATTATTTTCTAAAATGAGATATAGTTCAGCATCAATTTTATTTTTCATTTTTAAAAATGTAAACTTGAGAAACTTTGTTCACATAAGTAAATTGATAGGGATGGAAGGAGTTTTTCATATCATTGTCACTTAGTTTTTCTGAGATATTTGCCAAAATCACATCAACTTCAGAGACTTGACAGATTGTTTAGATCATCCTTTTTTTTTTTGAAAGCAGATGACTGGAAGCGTCGTACAAAATTTGTTATTCAGTCATTAGTTCATTGTGACCCCAGTATTTCAGACTGCCCCTTTGAATGGGTAAGAAGTATGCTTTTATTTATAAAGTGGAAGAAAGGTTAATATAAAAATGAATATGGGAACACAGAAACAGCATGGTGCTTTGACTACAGGTCCGTTCTTCAGCAGATCAGTTTGAGGAAGGGTTACTTAAGAAAGTTAATTGAATTGAAATTGAATCTCTTAAGACTCTTCATGCCCATGTTCCCCTAGGGAGTCTTTACACACTTACAGAACACCTCCTACACACTGGGGTATAGGCCTTTAGGAAGGTGCTTTAAGCTATGTGACCTTGCACTGTTCACTTAACCTCCTTAAGCTTCAGGTCCTCATCTACAAAATGGGAGTAATAAAATTTACCTTAGGGATTTTTGTGACATTGTGTTAAAGCACTTAGCAAAATAGCTGGTGCAGTAGTGAGCTCAATAAATGGCTATATTCAAAGACTTACTCAAATCAGCAGTCATCCAGGTAGTAATCATCTAGCAAATGTGGATTCAGTGAGCACTCAAAATCACTTGTTATAAATCTTCACTTTTCAAAAACTAAATTGTGTTTTATTCTTTAAAAACTAAATGTTGTGCTAACAAGGATTATGCTACTTTAAACCTAAATATTTTCCAGTTGTGCTCTTTAGCCTATTTAGTTATCTTTCTGACACTTGGACTAACTTTTGAAAATACACTGTGCTGCCTAAGGTGTAGATACATTTTTATATTTTTACACATTTTCACAGCAGTGGTTTTAAAATGGTCTCTCTTACGCTTGTTGCTTTTACATGACTCCAGATTACCTTAAGTGTTTGTCAGTACCAAGGCAATAAATTATTTTTACAAATATGAAATTCCAGATATTTATTAGCACTGCACATGTGCAGATAATCATCAGAAAGGAATAATGAACCTATTGAGACAAACATATATCAGAGCATAAGTAGTGTCCCCAGAATGGAACTTAAGTATAAATAACATCCCTTCTTTTTTATGTGTGACAGTAACACAGATGAGTTCTTGCAGTCTGTCTTGAGAAATACATAAGGAAATAGAGATTTATGATTATAGTTATATGAGAAAGGAGGGACAAATAATAGGCTATTACTTTTTGTTTTCTCTTTCCTGATGGGAAATTTTAATGTAAAGAACTATTAACTATAATAGGGGATTGGAGTAACATGCATTTGCTTAGTAAGGATTAAAGATATTTCTAAAGAATACAGAAAACGCACATACAAGGAATAACTACCACATGTTTGGCTAAGATCACATAAGAAAGAGTCTCCACTCCAAGGCTTGGATTCAGCCTTTAATAGAGAAGGCACAGCTGTGGCTCCCTGAGTGGCAGAGAAGTCACCGTAGTGCTGCACTGGCAGAACTTGCTGGAAATCAGCCCTGTAGGGTGCTGCTGGGGAAAGCTATTTATAGGAAGATGCTAACTGGAAGCACTCTGCTACGGAACTGTCCAAGGTGGGTGCTCGGGGAAGCTGCTGGCCACTGGATCTGGCTGGCCGCATGCAGGACAAGAGCACAGTACCAGAGAAGCCGTGGGCTCCGGAAAGTCTGCTGCTGGAGAAAACCATGCATGCCACGAAGCCTGTGTGAAACAGGCTCACTGGGATTAGAAGCAGAGCCCTTTTCCTCCTGCAGTGTCTCTTCAGCGTCCTCTATGAACAAAGCTTAATTAACATTGTGACAGCTGTCAGAGGAAAATACTTAAATAGCCCAAATCCATTTTCACAGAGCTGCCAAAAATAGCTAATTTGGATTTGAGGAGCAGTAATCAATAATTGGAGAACAGTCCATCGCTCTGATTACTTGGAATCTCGTATACACCTGTCTGCACACATTTGAACTTCATTCAGTAGCAGTGCCACTTTATTTCCACCTAAGAGGATATAGCTAGTCTTTTTTTTTTTTTTTTTTTAAGAGAGAGGGAAAAAGAATCACAGGCAGGTTCCACACCTAGCACAGAGCCCAATGTGGGGCTCAATCCCATGAACCGAGGCCCAAGCCAAAATCAGGAGTTGGACGCTTAACCAAGTGAGCCACCGAGGCACGCCACAGCTAGTCTTAAAATGAAGTTTTCACCCTTTCTCCAGGATGAGCAAATGAGAACAGATTCCCAAGAGTCATTACATCCATCACTAAATATTAATCACTCCACAAATTCATTCAGTCACCATGAATATTCTCTTATATAAAGATTAAATTGTGACGTTAACTGCTGTATGAAATAAAAATGGTAACGAGAGAGAAAAAGAAAATGGTTAGTAGATACAAATAAACATGTAACAAGCAGATAGAAAATATGCAAAGCCCCCTTGTCCTTGTTTTTATATTTGGCCACAGGCTATAATTGATAGCCTTCATCTATCACCCATTCCGTATTTTCTGTACCTTCAGCAAGAATCTCAGCTGCTTAGGATTCTGGGTGGAGTGACCCAAATCTACATTTTTGAAGATTGTGTGTACCTGGTCATCTTGCCTTTTGGGGAGATGTTGTTCTTACCTGGTAATTTTACTGTTGGGCATAGAAGTAATAAGAGATGTACACTCCAAG